AGTCCCAGGCTCTCGAGGCTTGGACCCAACATTCACTTGCACTCCCCGGTGGCATCTCGGCACTTGCAGAAGACGCAAGCAGCAGCAGCAGCAGCTGGCCACGACGATTCTCTTCGCGTGGCTGCGAGGCTCAGATAAGGGAGCCTCCCCTCCCCGCTTGCAGCGTAAGTCGATGATGAAATGGAAGCGGCTTCACCCCCACTAAGGACTTCCACGCCACCCATTTTGGGGCAATCCGCGGAAAATAATGTGCTGCCCGTTCGGCTAAAACGTGTATCGGAAAGATCGATACGATGGATAAAAACAACCACCACCCCGATCCCCTCCCCGCATAAAACTTTATTATCCAGCTTGCGAACAGGATAACATTATGCACCGGTGGTTGTTGAATAAAAGCGTTGATAATGCAGTGGGTACGGGGTTTGTTGTTTTATTAAGCTACACGCGGGAGACAGAATCTGTCCAATTGCCGGTAGTTGTGATCGGGATGCGAATGTCAAAGCAACGCGTGGCAGCAAATGATGTCAGCAGTGGCTCGAAAGAGAAACATGAACAGCGGCAACCCAGTGACCATGAACTGTGATTATGTTGTTATTTAACGTGCCATTATGTCGGCGTGTCGTTCGTCACCCTTTAAAGTGGACGTTTACCATGTTAAATATTGTTCCTGTTTCAGCAACACGTGTAAACAGCAGATGTTTCAGCAGTTTCCTGTACGCATCCTGTCGGGCTTTTAGGTGATGTCACCAACTCGCTCAGGCGAGACGATATCGTGACCTTTAGCTATGCCACTTGTGTTGACAGCCCACCAATGGCGAATGGGGTGACTGCTGTTGTTGGCTAATTACGTATCGTCCTTATTATAAAAGCCCGGGGGCGTTCCGTTTGTCTGCCAACTAAATGATGAGACCCCTTTCAGAAGGCCTGAATCAAAAAGTTATCCAAAGTGGAACCCCCCCCCCCCCTCTAGATGTGGGGGTAAAACGTTGATCCAACAGGTTTATCATAAATTCACTCCCCCCCCCCCGCAACAAAAAATAAATATACCTACACACCATACATACAATAGTCAGTAGTATCTGCACACATTGGCGGGGGGGGGGGTGGGGGAAGAAGAGGACATCAGTGGGGGCGACGGGAGAGACGCAAAGCGTCGAAAAGCCCCCCCGCAGGAGCGAGAATAAGACGGCCTATATTTTAGTTAACTGAATAGGGTGTAAATTCCATGCTGTGCTCTACAGCGTATAGATTTATCTTCATCACATTTATTTGGCATCCACACGACTGGCTCACATCTGCTAAGAAAAACGGGCACTCTGTCCCGATTGCATGTTTGTGTTGGGAGGCAATTATGCACAGAAGCAATATGGTTACTATACCATCGTAGTGGAGGAGTTTAAGTACCTCGGGGTCTCTTTCGCGAGTGATGGTAATTGGGGGGAAAGTGGCCGGCGGATCGGTGTGGCGTCCTCAGCGTTGCGGCCACTGTACCCTTCCGTGGTGGTGGAACGGGAGCTGAGTTCTCGAACAAAGCTCTCGGTTTACAGGTCGATCTACGTTCCCACCCTCACCTATGGTCTTGAGCTTTGGGTAATGACCGAAAGGATGAGGTCGCGGGTACGAGGGGCCGAATGAGGTTTCTCCGCAGGGTTGCCGATCTCACTCTCCATGATCGGGTGAGGAGCTCGGTAATCCGGGAGAGCCTCAGAGTCGAGCCGCTGCTCCTTCGGATCAAGACGAGTCAGTTGAGGTGGTTCGGGCACCTGGTAAGAATGCCCCCCCCCGCCCCCCGGTAGACTCCCCTTGGAATTCTCCCGGGCAGCAATGTCCCACTGGGCGAAGACCCCGGGGCTGGCCCAGGACACGCTGGCGGGACTATGCCACTCAACTGGCCTGGGGATACCTGGGAATTCTCCAGGAAGATCTAGAGTCAGTATATAGTAGTGTATAGTGTATAGTAATTTTAGAGCTAGAGTCTGTCACCAGGGAAAAGTAGGCCTGGACCACCCTACTCAACATGGTGGCCACTACTACCCTCGCCAAGACAAGCTGACTGAGAAACGCACACAATTAACGAACCATCGTAGCATTAAGTATATTATATACTTCTCAAATTTCAATATAGAGTATATCATGCATAGATGGGTAGATGGAGTGGTGGCGCAGGGGTTTGTGCACTATGCTACAATCGCGGTGACCTGAGATTGATTCTTGGACACAGCTAACATCAGTGACAAGTGATATAGAAACTTCCCCCACCCTTTCCAATCTCCCCTCCATTACCAACTCACTCGGACCGGCGTTATGGTCCAGCCACCCTGATGACCGATTAGCATGGTTGGCTATGTACGGTGCGAAAGAAGTTTAACATACATACATACATGACCGACACACCTTGTGGAGGACTTCATCCATGAGTGGATTCACGCAGGGATATCATTATTTGTAGATAATACAAGTGTTAAAGCATTCTACATAATGTAACATTGCAGAGATTATATTGTGCAATTGTCAGTGGGGCTTTGCTAAGCAGCTGGATATGTAACTTATTCAAATATAAATGGTAAAACGTTACTCACCTTATAAAAATGCCTTTTTTATGTGTACGTATAAGTTGAGTAAAGTTTTACCATTCTCATAACAAAGTTGTTATCTTTCAACGACCACTCCTGGCGTCACGTTGATTTTAGTATCGGCCTGATTCTAACTGTCTGTGATTGGTTACAGTCTGTGACGTAGCTTATTCCAGTGTAAAACAAATGTTCCATTTCCTTAAATTCATGTATTCCACAAAATATGACGAACATACTTCATACATCTGAATCCTGTGAGTAGAATTCGTGATTCGGAATTATATATACACCTTTTTAAACATTTATGTTCCCGAACAACATTTTATTGGAATAAATGGCACTCATCGAAATACAGAGGTGCATTAGAAACTCATTATTTAAGTTACAAAGTTAAATGTGTTTGGGGCGGTTGGGTGGGTCAGGTGTCAGAGAACTCAGCTGGCGGCGCTGGGTCTCTGGGCATTAATATGAATTTCAGGAGCTTGTTGGTAAACTGGGTTCTTAGAACAATAACAAAAAAAAAAATCATCGTTGGGTTAATTGGTTCTTTACCCTTCTATCTGGCAACAAAACTGACACCTTTTTGCAAGGAGTCATGTTTGCATAGACCGCAATACCTGCAGTCAAAAATACAAACAAAAGACATAACTCTGATAATGTGCACTGTCCTTGAAGTTGATTGGTCCACACCCGAGACAGCTTTCCTTCGAGCCTAGTCTCATATGGGTTGGACCAGATGACGCCAAAAGGCGCACAACTCAAGGACAATGCACCATCAGAGTATGAGAGCTCGGGGCAAGCATCTACACTATGGGGACCTCATTTGCCAGTAAAAATATGATAATTGGTTCTTTACCCTTCTATCTGGCAACAAAACTGACACCTTTTTGCAAGGAGTCATGTTTGCATAGACCGCAATACCTGCAGTCAAAAATACAAACAAAAGACATAACTCTGATAATGTGCACTGTCCTTGAAGTTGATTGGTCCACACCCGAGACAGCTTTCCTTCGAGCCTAGTCTCACATGGGTTGGACCAGATGACGCCAAAAGGCTCGTTGGGTTGTAACTTAATTTGGCATTTCCAGCTTACAAAATTTGACAGCTGCTCAAAGAACCTGTCGCAGGGGTTGGACATGTGGGAAAGTCCAGCACCCTCTATGTCTGTGCGTTGAACTTCTTTCGCACTGTACGTAGCCAACAGTGCTAATCGGAGGTGCGAGGGAAGGACAATAAACTAAACACAAAAAGCAGTTTTCAAGAAATTAGTTGTCAGTCTAGATTTAAAAGTGCATAGCTCCAGTGGCTTCCTTATGTAACAAAGCACTTCCACGACGACTTGAGACTAGTGTCTTTTTATTAACAATTACTGCACAGCTCTGCGCTCTCTTCCCGGATGGTTCCGCGCCCTCTCTGTCCGCCGTAATGCGCGCGCTCCCTCGTCCTCCGTTGCGGCGCGTCTCTCTCTCACGCTCGCCGCTGGCCTGCGGCGCGCGGGGAGTAGAGAGGGCTTCGCCGGCGGAGGTCACCACGTGGCCGGTGGCGAGACGAGGTCGGCGAAGATGCAGTCCGGACTCCAGGCTTCCCACACCGACCCCGAGTCCTCTCACTGCCTCTCCTCATATTGCTCTCGGCGCCTCTAGCCACGCCCCTCGTAGAACCTTCTCGACGCTTCCCGAACGTACTCACGAGCTCCGCCCATTACCTTTGGCCCAGATGGAACCCTGCCCTCTGATTGGACACGAGTAACCCAGCAGTGCCTGTGCAGCCCTTCGTCGTCCCTTAGGTGGCGCTCTCTCGTTACACTAATATCGGAAGGAAGAGTGTTTCTGACGGCTGCAGAAGCGCATCTGAAAGCGCGCGATGCGATGACCGTGTTTGTTCGATGTCTAGCGAAAAGCCGCTGCTGCCAGGATGATCGGAGTTCGCGTGGTGGTTTAGGTTCCTTGACGAGATCAGCGAGGTATTGTGGTGTGTAATGAGCACGACCTTATAACATATTCGTTCAGCAACCGCAAGCCAATGCAGCTCAGCGAGCACTGAGATGGACATGGTCGGATGATAGTGTGTGAATGAAAGAGATTATTTTAAAGTAGGGGTGGTTTCAACAAATGTGTATCCCGCCGGAGGAATAGGCGTCACACACCCCCCTGCTCTATGGTATCCCGGAAGGAGTTCTATGGTACCTCCTTCTGCGGGCTGTTCCCTGACCGATGTGATGCACGCTGCTCTGTGAGAGTTTAGTTTGTTGTCCTTCCGCCCGCACCTTCGATGAGCGTGGTTGGCTACATAAGAGGTTCAACACACATACATTTCGTGATACGATGATTGGAATAAAACTGAAAATGAAAAAGAAACAGACCACGGTACACGTGTAATGTAAAAACCAACGGTTGTTTGCGTCTCTCGCCACGTCGTCGCCGTCAGGTTCGAGAAGGGGCGCATCTACACGTACATCGGCGAGGTGGTGGTGTCCGTGAACCCGTACAAGCAGCTCAACATCTACGGCCCCCAGGTGGTGGAGAGCTACAAGGGGCGCGAGCTGTACGAGCGGCCGCCCCACCTCTACGCGATCGCCGACGCCGCCTACAAGGCCATGAAACGGCGCAGCAAGGACACCTGCATCGTCATCTCGGGTGCGTTCGCACGACGTGCCGCCCGCCACTGTTAAACTAAACAACTACACTCATGGTCGACACTAATAAAACTCTATAGACAGTGGTACCCCGGAGATCGAACTTAATGCGTTCCAGAAGGCCATTCGAACACCGATTTGTTCGAACACCGAATTAATTTTCCCCATAAGAATTAATGTAAATGACATGAATTGGTTCCAGGCACAAGGAATCTCTCATTATAAAGCATTTTTACACGAAGTTCACAGTAATTACATGCTTAAAATCATTACATAAACAAGAAACACAATAAATAAATGGAATAAATGAATACATATATGGAATAAATGAAATTAATGAACATTGAACTTCACTTTACCTGTAGTAAGGAGAGTTGATGGCTTGAGTGGAAGGTGGTGAGGAGGAGGAGGTGGAAAAACCTTTGTCTGGGCAAGCGTCATGCACGCTGGCCATACGCGTCTCAGCCGTACAGGTTCTTTCAAGTCGCGATTGCCCGTTCGACCTCCGAATTTTGTTCGGTTTCCAGGGCATCCACGTTTTACTGTATATAAAAATTAAAGGTTTTATTTTACGAGGTAAGGCCCACTGAGTTAGAAAGCTTATTTATTCAGAAGCGACCTGGCCATCACAAATGATGGCTCAACGAAGTGACTTCTCGTCACGTGGAAATTTATATTTGGAAGCCACTGGAGCTATGCACTTTTAAATCTCGATTGAAAACAAATTTCTTAAATGCTGTTTTTTGTGTTTAGTTTATTGTCCTTCCCCCACACCTCCGATTATCATGGTTTTCCACGTACAGTGCAAAAAGAAGTTCAACATACATACATACTTAAAGCAGCCAAATACTCTGAACGCATGTTTCTAAATATGGAGGGAAAGATCCACGCGACCACAGCGAAAGAGGCATGCAAACTCCAAACATACAGGCATCAGAGTCGGGATCGAACCCACGACCTTTTGAATACCAGGTGAGGTAGTTAACATCTCACCACTCACCGACGCTGCAATGAAAACCGCGAGTAAACGAAACCTATAACAAGTCTACGAGGACCTGCTCGGTGATGACTCGCCACTGATGTTAGCCGTGGCCAAGAATCGAACTCAGGTCACCAGCTTCATTGTGCAATGCAGTAACCAGTGTGCCAGAGACCCTCCGCAGATTCAGTATCACGTGATCTTTTTTGGCTCTTTTTTATGTTTTCGTTACTTGTTTCTTGATATTACCCTGTCGTGTTTTGTTTGCTCTGTTCGTCTCAATGTACAATTAACATACACATTACACGTAATATTAATTAATGATGAAGGTTTTTGGGTTAGATCGCGTTATTCTAAATGTGTCGCAACCCTCCACCACCTGACACGGCCAATCAGTAAACGTGACACATTTTTTACTGGTCGCGAAAGCCTACGTGTTAAACTGATATAATATTAATGCTGTTAAATAATCTATTCTTTTGTACGTGAGTCAATGCATGTTACTTGAGTGTGAGATTCGGTGGCAATTATGAACAAGTTTAACTATTACAGGTCCAGCTACGTATTAACACGGCCTGTACCAGTGGAATGACACATCCTGTGTCACAGGGTGCCATGGTGACAAGATGTTAACTACTCCGCTTGGTACACAGGAGGTCGTGGGTTTGATCCCGACCCTGACGCCTGCTGCTGTATATTTGGAGTTTGCATGCTCTTCCCGTCATTGTGTGAGATTTTTCTCCGGGTCCTCTGGTTCTTCCCTCCAAATTTAGAAACATGGTTTTAGAGTATTTGGCTACTATAAATTCCCACGCGATAATTCACTTCGTTGAGCTATCATTTGTGGCCAGGTCGTTTGTGATATAGAACTAATAGCTCACTGGGCTTTAGCTGGTAAAATAACAACAGTTTAGTTTAGTCATATCTCCTTCAATGTGTTATGTTTTCTTTCTGTAACTGACTAATGGAAAGTTTAACTTGAAGTGCTGTGTAACTGGCCACTGGTTAACAGTGCTCTGCATACGACACTCAACTCTTGTAGCCCTTGTTTTGGGTTCGGGTAAGTTGGCCTGGTATTTTCTTCGTTTAAATTTTTTTTTTTAAGTATTCAACTAAAACTTTGTTGGTGCCAGCGCATGCAGTGTAACTCACAGAGCCACAGTAAATAGCAGTGGATGCGTGGGGCAGATTGGGAGATTGTTGGTTTTAAGTGGTGTACAGCACACTCGAACGTAACATAGACATTTCCCCTTTTCTCTTGAGTTTGTTTTGATTTTTGGTTCAGTTCAGGGTCGACGCAGCAGCCAGCTCGGCGACGGTAGTGAGTGCCTCCCCCCCCTCCAGCCCACCGCCCCCCCCACTCCACCCCTGCCATGCCTGCCGCGGCTGCTGCTGTTCTTGCCGTTGTTCGTGATGCCGTGCGTTTTCTGCGTGCCGGTTGGCAGGAGAGAGCGGGGCGGGGAAGACGGAGGCCAGCAAGCTCATCATGCAGTACATCGCCGCCATCACCAACCCCAGCCAGAGGCAGGAGGTCGAGAGGTCAGCTATGCCGGGCAGCGTTAAGCCACCTGACTTTCTGTGCATGTCCGAACAAAAGACCACACGTCATTGCCATTCATAATCAACGTTTTTGGGTTTAGATCGCGTTATTTATAAATGTGTCGTAACCCTCCACCACCCGACACGGCCAATCAGTAAAAAAGTGTCACGTTGACAAAAGACAAATAGTTCACTGCTTTAGCCCACCGGTGTGTTGAAGCGTGAAACCACAACATTTACAATTTGAGTACGACGTTTCGCTGGTAATTGAATCCAGCAGGGCTAAAGCAGTGAACTATTTGTCTTTTGTCAACGTGACACTTTTTTACTGATTGGCCGTGTCGGGTGGTGGAGGGTTACGACACATTTATAAATAACGCGATCTAAACTCAAAAACGTTAATTATGAATAATATTGGTCGCGAAAGCCTACGTGTTAATCATTGCCATTATCGTCGCAATTTACAGGTTTTCCATGGCCAAGTCACTCTAAACCTCACTTGGATGATCACCCATGGATTGCCGGGTGTTGTAGGCGTGGGACTGAGAGGTGTGGTTAGGAGATGGCAGTGGCGATTTCTCCAGGTGCTCTAAAGTTTCCTTCCACAAGAAGTCAAACTATCATTCGTGGAATTGGTCAAATATAGTAATGTAGCGCGACCACAGGGCAGTCCGGGCAAATGCCCAGTTGGCCTGGTCTATTCTGAAGGATGGTTGGCTGGTCTTGTGCGGGGACATTGCAAATGTGATCAGAGTAAAAAAGTATGTAAATTTTAGTTTTTTTATGAAAATATTTTATTACCTATGATGTATACGCTTCATTGCTTATTTACGCTCTCAGTTGGAAATTAAGTTTGCATATTCGGCAGCCCCAAAGATCCAACCCCAAATGGGCCAATGATATCGGACAGCAAAATCACGCTAATACGTCACATCGCAAATTTTGCTAATATACAGTTTTTTGTGCAACCCACTTAAATAGAACAAAAATAATGGCCCATAGCTCGAATTTGGACCAGTGTGTTTACAAATGCCTGGTCCGCCATGGTTGCATTTTTCATGCTGAGATTATCCGTGTCTGAATCCTAAATAACGACACAACATGAGCTTGGTTTAGAAGTTGTTTAATGCATGTTAAAATAGCAGCCGTCTCGTTTAGGAAAACAAGTTATAAAAAATGTAATTTCTGATCGTGCTGACATTCATCACACGGTTCAAGTTTGATTTCCTCGAGGCAAACCAAAGAGGAAGATAAATAATGAAAAACAATTATCTGAAAAGAAAACAAACCCCAAAAACAGATTTTTTAACGGTGGATGCCACGTGTCCAGGGTTAAGAATATCCTGCTCAAGTCGAACTGCGTGCTGGAAGCTTTCGGCAACGCCAAGACGAACCGCAACGACAACTCGAGCCGCTTCGGCAAGTACATGGATATCAACTTCGACTTCAAGGGCGACCCGGTGGGAGGGCACATCAACAACTACCTGCTGGAGAAGGTGCCACGCCCCTTGCCGCTCAGGCACACAATGGCCTACTTTTGCGAATGTCGCACGCGGATCTTGAGCGGCCAGCTGTGTTGATCGTAGGCGCGGGACACAGGGATTGTGACTCTCACTCGAGCTGAGACGGGCGTTTGCGGCTCTTCCTGTCGTCGCGCCCCTCTGGCCTCTTGGCACACGTACACACGAGGGAAGGTGCTTGCAGCAAAGTCATTCAGAATGTTGTCGTAGCCTGCCGTGATGGCATTGTACATCAGTTCTATCATGATGGTGAAATCTGTCAATTGCATCCGTCCAACAAGTTAAGAGCCGCATGGCTCACAGGGCTATACCTAATAAATGAAACTTGAAACTTGGTCTGTCTGCCCGTCCCCCTGTTGGTCTGTCCTTCTGTCCGTCCGTCCTTTCCTCTATCTGTCTGTTTATCCATTCGTCCGTCCATTGTGGCTTTAGTGCTGCCGAAGGGACAGCAGGGTGTTGCCTGTACGGTATGCCTGCGTCTGTCGCTTAAATATACACGGGCAGGTGAGCTACATACATCAGTGTTCTTCTAGTTAGAGGTCATACCGAGGCAACGCCACCTCTGTTTAAGTAAATAACAAGTGACCTTCACTGTCTACCCCGCTCCTTCCCATGCCGGGGAACTTTTAAATCCTTGACACTAAGCGCCGTTTTTATTGCGCACCGTCACTGCAGTCGCGACGGGACCAGAGTTATGGCTTTTAAGGTCAGACATTGCCATTGCTGCACCGCTCAATCGACTCGTGGTTCTCCAACTCGTAGTTGTTGTCGTTAAAAGCATTAAAATGTTTTTTTTTTCTCCCCGGCTCCCGACCGCTTTTTTGTTTTCTTAAAAAGAAATACTCAGCCTAACAGCATCGCAGCAAAAGCCGCCGTTTGGCACAAGGTGCGCAATTATCTAATGCCGTTTTGTAGGCACTACACGCCCGCCGCTGTGGGAGGTTGAGCAATCTTGTGGTTGATGATGCAACCGTAAACCCCAAACTGAATGCCATATATAGCTGTGTTGCCATGGAGGTCTGCAGTTTATATTTTATTTAAAATGTTTAGAGCTTGGTTTTCGCTGCGTTTTCGCGAGGTGTTTGCCAAGGTGGTGTGTTCTGAGTTTTGTTGACACACACACACACGGGCGTGCACACACAGCATGTGTACAAGCAGACCGTTTCCAGCAGGCGGGGGGAGGGGGTCAGAGGCAAAGTTCAGAAACTGTTGCAATTTTAGAATCACCGCGCTGTGTGCAAGAAATTGTAATTTTTTATTGAAAATACGGGCTGAGTGTAGCGTAAGATTTACGTGGTCGTGTTGAGAAATGTCCAATGTGCGTGAGATGGATTGAGAAGTGCGTCTGCTCTCCCTTACCATGGAGACGCATGGCTCCTGACTGTTGCCACTCCTTGTATTTGACAAGTTGATTCAGGTTATATTCTGGGCCATTGATAAGTGGCAAGGTCTGTGTGGTTTTGAAGATCATCGCACAGTCCTGAAGACCCCCAAAGACAAAGATCCCCTGTATAGCTTGACGGACTAATGTGGCAATTGCTGCTATTACTTAGAGAACCCTTCATCAATCCGCTGCTGGATGAAGGCCTCCTCCATACCTTTTCGGTTGTAGGGGATGTTTGACCATACTTCACCATGCTGGTCAGTGCAGCTGGGTGAAGGGTGAATGGCACCCAGGACAGGTATGGATATCAGCCGTGGCCAGCAGTCACACTCAGACTTCCGAAGTTTAAAGCGCAGAGTGAGACTCATCGCTGTTAGCGAGGGCCAATTAAGGCCGGCACGGCACACCAGAGGGCGGTGTTAGCGAGCGCCTATTAAGGCCGGCACACATATGTAGCCAGCCTGTGTTGTTGGCGGCGTTGGCAACTTCGTACATGGGGCTCCTTTGTTAATTCTCACCTGCCAAAAAAAATAAAATCCGGACCTAGTAAATTCCAGCAACAACGCAACCTTAAGCCTCAGGAACTCGTTACACAGTTGCGTGCTTGTGTCTGCCAAACGACACGTGCAGTGGCTGTATCCAGAAGCGCCCAGTCTGCACATGAATGGGGGGGGGGTCTATGTTACACGTGGTTAGAGAAGCCCGTGTACCGTGAAAGTGGGGGGCAAGACGTGGGGGGGGGGGGGGGGGGGAGACTGTAACTGGAGATGGAGCTGAAATGTACAAGTGAAACGTTGTGTTCATGCATCGATGGATGTCGATTCTCGAGTTTGCAACGTTGATTGTGTTTTTTTGCCAGTTTGTGTGTTTGTGTTTAATAATTTCACATTGCCTCTGTAGCCACGTGGGTTCCTCCTGTTAGTCAATGAGCCCAGATCAGTTATTTAATTCGTCGGTACCACCCGAGGTGGCATAAGGTTCGTGGTGACAATTATTTTACGTGGACAGCAATAGTGAATTGCGCGATGACTATTTGAAATGAGTGGGTTATCAACAGTTCACTGGTAGTAGCCGTGTGAATAAATTGGTACCACTAACTTTAAGTAGTACAAATATTTTGCCCTGGCCCATGGGACATCATTCAGCACAATGTTCACACAATAATTGATTTCCCATCGAATTACGACAGTGAATTCAACACCCGGGGTTGGCAGGCTGGGAGGTTCTCAGGTTGGTGTGGTGGTGGGGGGGGTGTGGCTGGTGATTAGTGGAGCTATTGACCCGGTCTGCTGTTGTTGTTGTTGTTGTGACCTCATGCTCGTGTGTCGTGTCATCGCCTCCTCGTTGTGTTTCCAGTCCCGGGTGATCTTCCAGCAGTCGGGGGAGCGCAACTTCCACTCCTTTTACCAGGTATTGCTTACACGATGGCCTACTCTCAGTGTTTCTGTTGCGCGTCGTCGCTTTAAGATGTTCTCTGTTCACATTTAGTTTGTTGCGGTTGCTCTCGAATTAAGAGCTGCATGGCTCACAGGGCTATACCTAATAAATGAAACTTGGAAGAAAAAAAACTTGAATAACTACACGTTCTAGTCGCCCCCTCTGCAAGCTTGTTTTTGTTCTCACCTTTTAATATATTCGCATATAACAGACGTCACTCCGCTGATGAGTCTGTGGGAGTTGAAACTGGGTCCCGAGTTGCGGCCTGCTTTTTAAATCCTTTATATTAAGTTCGCTTGCTTGCTTGCTTGCGTGCTTGCTTGCTTGCTTACGACCGTGTAAATCTTTCGGTCGTTTTTTAACCCACTTCCCATGATCCAATCGAGTTGACATTTTCCACACAGACTCGTTGTGCGTGACAATTAATGTTCGTGAAAATTTTTTTCAAAAATTTTACACTTTATAGCACAAAAATATTATATTTAATTACCAATTGTTTAATACTGCAGACAATCATCTGACCCATAGGTGGCAGCCATCTCAAGCCAGAGGACGAGAGGACTCTAGCCGCCACGCATATAAAGGATTTAGAGTGAAAAACTTTGTTTTTACGGGTTATACTTATTAAATCCTTTATATTAAGTTCACTTGCTTGCTTGCGTGCTTGCTTGCTTACGACCGTGCAAATCTTTCGGTCGTTTTTTAACCCACTTCCCGTGATCCAATCGAGCTGACATTTTGCACACAGACTCGTTGTGCGTGACAATTAATTTTCGTGAATTTTTTTCTCCAAATTTTACACTGTTTAGGGGATTTTTTTATTTATTTATTTACCAATTGCTTAATGCTGGCAGGCTATCATCTGACCCATAGGTGGCAGCCATCTCAAGCCAGAGGACGAGAGGACTCTAGCCGCCCCGATGCCACGCATATAAAGGATTTATAGTGAAAAACTTTGTTTTTACGGGTATATTTTTAAACAAATGCTGCTGCAAAGCACTTGTCCAGCAAGGGACGTGCACTCAGGCTCGTGGACTAAAATTAAATTCTAGATTTGAAGCTTTCGTGACTGCAAGGATTCATATTCTTAGGTTTTTTCGGTAAAGTCACGTAGGTAAAAAATTAAAATTTATAAAAGTAAAATTTTAATTAAATTAAAATTTTATTTTACTTTTTATTAATTTTAAAATTTAAATGTAAACGGCCACAAGTTGGGGGCACAGCGGTTCGACGAAGAAGATGACGGTCCCCCTTTCGCCGTCGTCGCAACGTCTCGATTATTATCAAGACAGAGGCCTGGGGTGCGCCAACTCACAGGCGGTTTCATAGTCTCCACCTCGTTTGCGTCATAAACGTTAAGTTCCGATGCCATGAGGCGGACCTCATTTACGTGTTGTTTATATTCTATTACGTGTTATTCCACTTGCACATTGAACGCCTACATTCCCCGGAGTTGTCCCCTTTCCTGAATGAAAAACAACAACCGCAACCGAACACATTTGGCGATGGTGCTGAACCGAAGAGGAAAACCCGCTCATAACGATAGACGTTTTGGGAATTCCCACGAAAGAGGGCCCATTGCCTGAAAACGTCGCCCGTTATTTGCGAACTCCTTGTTTGTGTGTTTGCGTGTTCTTCACGAATGCGCGTTGAGGATTTAGCCGCTTCGTGCTTCGCGAAACTGCATGAGCACGCTCCCGACGTTTTTAACGTCGAATTGGCGAAACGGGCAATTTCTGTGGCGGGTTTGACCGAGGCGCGCGTAGCCGCTGACTGTGGATTTGTGTGTTGGCTCTCTGCTGGTTGAGTGGCGCAGATGTTGCAGGGAGGTCAGGACCAGCTGCTCAAGTCGATGCGCTTACAGAGAGACATCTCACGATACGAATACCTCCGCCAAGGCAACACGGGCAAGGTATGGCGAGATTTCGATTTAAAGCTTTCGTGACTGCAGGGATTCATCTTCTTGGTTCTTTCGGTAAAGTCACGTAGAAGGGAAGTAATAAAATAATAAAAAGAGAACATAATAAAATAATTCTCACGACGTTTCGGCCACAACGCAAGCAGCCGTCCTCATTCTTCACCTGAGGACGGCTGCCTGCGTTGTGGCCGAAACGTCGTGACAATTATTTTATTATGTTTTATTTTTATTATTTTATTACTTCCCTTCTACGTGACTTTACCGAAAGAACCAAGAAGGTATGGCGAGATGTTAATGACCTCACCTGGTATACAGTAGTTCATGGGTTCGATCCGGACCCCTGGCGCCTGTATATTCGGAGTTTGCATGTCTCTCTCCCCGTGGTCGCGTGAAGTTGTTAAGTAAAAGTGTGTGCCTGCGTGTTGAACACTACATATGCACAGCCGTGCTTGCCAATTTACTGCTAGATGAGGACCTCCCTATGACGTGGGGGTTATTTCACAATAGTTCACCCCACCATCCAATGGTCGTTGATGAAGGCGGTGAGCATCGCAGTAAGAAGATGGATTTTGCTGCGCTGCCCTCTGCTGCCCACCACGTAGCACCGCTGGCCCTATGACAACCTAATTGTAGAGGGTGGCCGCCCATCCAAGCACTCTCCAGGCTCAGGCATGCTTAGCCTCCGAGATTTGACGAGATCAATCGCATTCCAGGTGATTTGGTCAAATGGCATTTGCACAACTGCACACAGGGCTGGGCAAGCGTTGGGAATGTGTCAGCGAGTGAGATTCACCCGATGGCACCACTAGAGACCGATATAGAGGCGGCAAATGGTAAGGCACCGGACCGTGTTACCAAGGGCCTGGTGATGTCGTTTGGGTTACGTTTGTGTGTGTGAGTCATGCGCGTGCAGCTGTGTGTGTGCGGGTGGCTCGGCCTAAAGGGCATCGGTGACGGTCATCGGTTTCTGGGCTTGAAATGCATGAGATGTGCGCGTTGTTGGCGTGTTGGCTTGTTTTTATTGCATGGGGGGCTGATAGCGCGTACCGCGTGTGCAATGCCTGCAACGTATGGTGTGTAGCCTTGGCCCATTGGAAAGGGTGCAATGATCTGGGCAGGCGACGCTGCAGTCGGAACGTTTTGCTCGCGATCGGAAGGTTACCAGATCAAATCCTAGTTGGGGGGAGATTCGCTCAGTCCATCATCCCAACGGGGTTGATACATTGACTACCACTCGGTGACCACTCCTGCAATGGATATTTTACTGTGGTGTCCCCCCCACCCACCCCCGTCCAGGTTGTGTGCTGAAGGTCAGGCACTCCGTGACAGTGTTGCTATTTTTAAGTATGCAACGTGTGTATGCTCAATTTCTTTCGCACCGTACGTAGCCAACCGTTGCTAACCGGAGGTGGAAGGGCAACAAACTAGACACACACTACACTGATGTTTTTAAAAGCAGTTGTCCTCTAATTCGCTTTGTTCCTTCTTTATTACCTTCGTGCTCTTCACGCACGGCACCTTGGGACACTGTGAGAGGCGCTCTAAGTAATCAAAATTATTATTACGACCATGGTTATGATACATTACATCGACTCCGCTGACTCAGGGACCACCTATGAAGTGCCACCCCAAATAGATTTTTTTTTAACAACTTCACTTATGAATATACGTTTTAGAATCACTGGCTATCTATTTTTTTTTTTTGCAGTCTCCTATCTCAACCGTGAAGCTCCTCGTAGAGCTGAATGGGGCCATGCAGCACAGATGTAATTTCTGCTCTGTCTGCCAGCCCGTGAGGGTGTCCTGGTTGCCCTCTGCTGCGCCAAACTTTTAATACCCAAAACCATTAGTCACCGGTTTCACATTTTTTTAGGAACAACTTTTCTTATAATCGGAGTAAGTTGAAACCGTGAGGCGAAAAATAGGCACTTGTGGGCTCATAGGGCATTGAGAAGGAATGTAAGGGTGGTGCGGCGGCGGTGGCGGCAATTGGTTGCGTACGTGGCCTGTAATCCAGTGCTGTCGAGGCGTACGAGGTTTGCTGAATCACCACACTTAATGTTACAAAGCTCATTTCCTGTAGGCGTTCAGGAGGTGCCATACCCTGGCTTCTCAGGAAACGTGTGGATTCATATCGTCTCACCCATCTGTATGGGATAGAGCGTTGCCTCCTCACACGTATTGGTTTTCTCTGCTTGTATAAATGTAGGAAATGATTTGCTGAAAACATCTTCATATATATAGAGGACTGCAGAGCTTTGGCAATTGCTTGTGCCGGCTTACCGCCTGGCTGCTTTCCAATCTTCTCTGCGGTACCACAGTGATTGTGAGATGTAATTTTTATGAGTGGCTTTCTGGCCCAAAGAGACGACGGCAGTTACTACATTTACTTATTATAATGTTTCATATCCCGTGGGCTTTGAACCCGAGGCCCTTGAATCGGGAGAACTGACTCTTTCTCTGGCACGGTACATCGAGACACCAAGGCGGCTTGCTCTCTTAACCATTGCAGGCTTGTTCAGGCGATACGTCTTTCCAAGGTCATTTCACTCAGTTTCAGGCCTCCCCCCCAAAAATGAAGTAACGAAAGTGCCAAAGTACTACCTCAATAAGCAACGTCACCACTGCGGTTTACTGAATGGGTCACAGTCTGCGGTAAGTACACGTACAGACAGACCTTTTGTCAATTCACTGCTGGAGCATGCCCTTCGCTGCTTTACATTTCCACGCGATAAGCCACTTTGTTGAGCTATCCTTTGTGGCCAGGTCGCTTCTAAAAACGAACTATGGAGCTCAGTGGGCCCTACCTGGTAAAATACAAAGTTAAAGTTAAATGCACGGTGGTCTCCTATCCAAGCACTATCCAGGCTCAGACCCCTGATGAGATTTGGTGCATTTGCCAGGGATTGGCGCATCCCCAAGTGCTTGATTGTTTGTGTGCTGTGTGCACATATTTACAATGTCTTGCATTTCAGATGATTAACAATGCAAAACAATTACCCAATACGGATTTAAAATGCATGTACATGCAACCTCATCTCCGATGCTGTACACTTGCACCTCAGTTTTTACAGCCTGGCGGAAATATTTTCACAATAATTAGTTTTTATACGTGCGCGTAATTTGAGCACGGGATGCATAGTTGATTACCGTGAATTACCTGTGTGGAAAATTACTGCGCTGGTCGGTGAACGCTGCGTCGGTGTCTCGCTCCCTTCGACAGGAGCCCGGAATCAACGACAGCGGGGAGTTTAAGAACGTGGCGGAAGCGATGAAGGTGATCGGGTTCCAGGCGGACGAGGTGCAGACCGTTTACCGCATCCTCGCCTGCATCCTGCATCTGGTGAGAGAAGGCCGCCTGGCAGCGCCTCCCAGGGTTTCAATTTCCTCACTCGTCAGTGTATACCGAGTCGCTGGTGTCGACTGGAGGAGGCGGTAAGCGATTGGTAGTGGACACAGCCACAGTAGTGAGAGGCGTACAGGATGTGCTGCGCCGGGTGTGGAAATTTAGTCCGGGTGACAGGCCCGGGTGAAAGGATGCCCTGCGGGTACCTCGCTTGCTGAGGTGGCGAGGAGCCTGCTATGCAGGAGGCCGTGGGTTCGATCCCGGTCCCTGACGGTGCCTGTTGTATATTTGGAGTCCGCGTGTTCTCTCTCTCCCTGTGAGCGCGTGGGTTTTTGCTCCGGGGTCCTCCAGTTTTGCCCTCTACATTTACCTTACGCGGCTGCTACTATGAATGCCCACGAGCGATGGATGATATAAGCCACTACGATGGGCTATCATGTGTGGCCAGGTTGCCTCTGAATAAGCCCTAATAGCTCGGTGGGCTTTCACTGAAATATATAATAGCTTAAATAGTCGTTGGACAGGCTGACCACTTTCACAAAATACAGAGTTGATGGAACTGGATGCATTATGCGCTCATAAAAAAGAGAGAAAAGGGACTGGTGTATTCCGGTGGCTATGCTAGTGTCGACCGCTGACACGCTGGCTTTGAATTTGAGTGGGCTCGTGCTATGAAGCCAGGTTCTCGAACGTCACGAGTATCCACGCGGCGATGCGTTCACGCGTGCATTCAAATTTATTTGCACGCTCGCAATGCATGCATCGTATTGTGCTTGCGATAACTGCGTGAGATTCGTATATACGTTGTGCGGAATGGGTTCCCGTGACCCCTGAAGCGGATATCGCGAAGCTACCTCTTAAGATCCTTTTAAGTGACCTCTGATCTAGCTGGATTTTATCCAAATCGCGTAGAAAAGCAAGTTCTAAAGCGACGAATTACGTGTGGAGCCGGGAGACTATCAACTAGCAAGCCTAGCAACTCTGGTTAATCGCACGTGAACACTCTGACCTCACAGCCACACGGTCGCCTCGACGTTTCGGTTACCCCCCCCACCCCCCCACACACCGCAGGGAGACATCAAGTTTGGGTTCGAGGAGGAGGCGGTGGTGATCACGGACGACCGGATCGTGGCGGTGCTCGGCGAGCTGCTATCGACCAGCGCCGAGGCGGTGGAGAAGGCGCTTCTGTACCGCACCGTCTCCACCAACAGGGAAGTCATCGACAAGGGGCACTCCGTGCAGGAGGCCGGCTACGGACGAGACGCCCTTGCCAAGGTAGCCCTGGTGCCGACATCCCCACCACCGCTGTCAGCACCAGCACCACCACCACCAGCACCACTATCACCACTGTCAACATCACCACCACCACTGTGAACACCGCCACCACTCTCAATACCACCACCACCACCACCGCTCTCAGCACCAGCACCACCAGCACCACCAGCACCGCTATCACCACTGCCAACATCCCCACCACCACTGTGAACACCACCACCACTGTGAACACCGCCACCACTGTCAATACCACCACCACCACCGCTGTCAGCACCACCACCACTATCACCACTGTCAACATCACCACCACCACTGTGAACACCACCACCACTGTGAACACTGCCACCACTGTGAACACTGCCACCACTGTCAATACCACCACCACCACAACTGTCAGCACCACCACCAGCACCACTATCACCACTGTCAACATGACCACCACCACTGTGAACACCGCCACCACTGTCAATACCACCACCACAACTGTCAACACCACCACCATTATCAACACCACCACCACCACCACAACTGTCAGCACCACCACCACCATTGCCACTGTTAGCACCACAACCACTACTGCCAGCACCACCACCACCACTACTGTCAGTATCACCATCACCACCACTATCAACACCACCACCACCACCACTGTCGGCATCACCACCACCACCACCACCCAGCACCACCGCTGCCAGCACCAGCACCACCACCACCGCTGTGTCCACGGAAGGGTTATTGCAGTAGAAAATGGAGAAAACTTGGAATCCTGCGGCTGGCTTAATCTGTTAATGTATCAGCCTGCTGTGATCATCTTTTATTGAATGCAATTAAAGTGTGCCCTCCTCTCTTCGTCTTACGCCCGCTGGGTGCGATTCACCCTTGTGCCAGGACGTCTCACAACAACACGTGGTGTCCCACCCCAACGAGCGGTGTCCCACCCCAACACGTGGTGTCCCACCCCAACACGCGGTGTCCCACCCCAACACGCGGTGTCCCACCCCAACACGCGGTGTCCCACCCCAACACGCGGTGTCCCACCCCAACACGCGGTGTCCCACCCCAACACGCGGTGTCCCACCCCAACACGCGGTGTCCCACCCCAACACGCGGTGTCCCACCCCAACACGCGGTGTCCCACCCCAACACGTGGTGTCCCACCCCAACGAGCGGTGTCCCACCGCAACACGTGGTGTCCCAGCTGCAGTGTCCCACAATGCGGTGTCCCAGTGCGTGGTGTCCCAGCTGTAGGTACTCAACGACGCTGAAGACTACTTTTGTGTGTGTGCTTGGCAGCAGCCGTTGACACAAATATCCATTGCTGCACGTGTAAAACTAAATTATGAACAAAATTTTTTTTTACCATGTAAGGCCCACTGAGCTGTACATCTCTTTCTCAGAAGCGACCTGGTCATCACAAATGAGATAGCAGTGAAATACTCGAAACGCGTGACGTTGATTCTAAATGTGGAGGTAAAAACCGGAGGATCCGGAGAAAAATTCACTCCACCACGGGGAGAGAGACACGCAAACTCCAAATATACAGGTGTCAGGGTCAGGATCGAACCCGTGGCCTCCTGCATACCAAGCAAGCCAGATAACATCTCTTAGCTACTGCAGCGCCGATTTATTCGGTAGCCAATCACATGCATCCCCTCGCGAGTGCACCCCCCCACCCTGCCTGGCTTGTGCCGGCGTTGCTATTACCTCGGGGCAAATTCCGCTTGCGACTGGTCAGCATTTTGCTTTCTGTTTGTACATAGCGTACACTTGGCAAACGCTGACCCTCCGTCAGCCGCCATGATCAAACGGTGGGGGACCCCGCGGGTAATAGGAAGCGCATTTCAGTAGCTATAGTTGGCTATCTATGTATGATGGAACATAATCAAAATAAAACCAACCCATCGTAATCGCTGCATAGTTTCCTGCGTACGTGCACCGCGGCTGACTGAGCCCCATGCGTGGGGAATTTGCATACGCGAGGAGAGTCCTGCATTGGGTCGGGTGTCCGTGGGTAACTCACGGTTCACCCGTGGGTCACCCGTAGGTCACCTGCAGATCACCCGTTGGTCACCCACGGCTCACCCGTGAAACGGGTTGGAACCGAGTAGCTTGTTACAGATTCCTGTTGGGGTGAGGATCAGATTTCGGCACGGTGAACGTGACGCGAACAGAATGCTGTCAACACGGCGTGGTCCCAACTCGCCGTGCGGGTACCCGACCCCTCGCAGGAATATCCACGCGAGCAGGCAGCCCGCCGGGCGTCCAGCCTGGCCTTTGGCAGGCCCAGAAATCGCTCTGGCTATACCCAGCGGAGTGGCCCTTCTGATATAAACGAGCATGGATCTCCTCAGGGAGAGCTGATGTTTGTTCCCGCAAGCGGACGCTCGCTCGAGTTCGGTGCCGCGTTACTCTCGACGGCGCGTTGGAAAGTACGGCATCTGAAAATCAAGGGATGTAGACTAATACGCACATACAGAGGACTGTTATAAATTCCTAATGTGATCCGATTGTACATACGGGAGAACCAGTGTTTCAAAATATTGGAACAAATATTGAGGGCAACGTATTCACTGGCACGGGTACCCGCACTGGTCAGAAATTCCAACGCAGATGTGTATCTAGAAGGCCTCTTGAGTGAAAACTACCGGCACAAACGGCCGTTAGCCACAAGTGTGCACCAAACATGGCCATAAACTCCCCTCTCTGCAGGATATGAATCATGCCCATTGTGTATGAGTATTTTATATATATATGTAAGCTGTAAGGACACCCGTTTGCTAATCTTATCAGGCATTGCTTGGCAGTTATCAGCTGTGCGTGATTGATAAGCCTCGATCGTGTGTTGGAGTTGTGACGAGCCGGGCCCGAGTTTGACGAGCGCCATCGCGCGTGCGTGGTGCGTGCGTGCGTGCGTGCAGGCAATCTACGAGCGTCTCTTCTGCTGGATCGTGAGCAAAATCAACTCGGTCATCGAGGTGAAGGACTACGACCCCCGCGTGCACGGCAAGAACACCGTCATCGGCGTGCTCGACATCTACGGCTTCGAGATCTTCGACAACAACAGGTGCCCGCTCTTGTTGGGGTCAGGCTGTCCCATCATTGGGGGGGGAGGGGGGTGACAGTGACAGAGCCAGCGTTGATTTTGGTTGTTTGACTTGCATCCCACTGGGATTTTTGCACACAGCGTTGGTGTACGGTGATTTTTTTTCTGCAATATTTTGCTGTCTTTTCTTGGATTTTCTGTTTGCACTTAGTCACATATTCACTTTAAGATGTTTTTTGTTCATGTTTTTGTTTTTTGTTTGTTGCGGTTGCACCCGATTCAAGAGCCGAATGGCTCACAGGGCTATACCTAATAAATGAACTTGAACTTGATTAATCCCATCCCCCCCCACATTCCCAAACGAGCCAGCGAGTGGCCAAGAACCGTGGTCGCCAATTGCAGGTGTAACGATTGCGTCCATTAAAGATGGGTTGTTTCGCTCGCTTCACGTGCAGAAACTGATTGGTTCATTTTTAAAGCCTCACCTCTTCTCCGTTGTCCATTCTCTTCCTCTTTCCCACCCCCCCGCCCCTCCACTTTCCCCCCTCCCCTATCCTTTCCTAAGCCCTACTCACCACTCCATGCCCCAGCTATCTAAATCATTATTATTTTCTATATCCACCTTTTTTTTATTATTATGTTCAACGCCTTGATCAAAGGCACTCTGTACAGAAAAAATAAGACAAAATATGTACCTGTGACCAAATCGCCCAGAAGGCACCCGACCTCACCAGATCTCATAAGCTAAGCGGGGTTGAGCCTGGATAGCGCTTGGGAAGTCTTCTTGCACGACCGGTCGCGAAGGGCTGCATGGTGGACAGCAGACGTGCAGGCAGTGCAGAAAAATCCAGTTGTTGTCCTGTACTTTCGATGGTGCCACATCTTTGCCGACCGCCTTTCAGGAAACTGACCAGCGCTGTGAAGTACGGTCAAATAACTTGATTGACCTAGACGGCATAGGGGAGGCCCTCATCCAGTCGTGGATTGACCCAAAAAAATATTGCAATTCATACACGGTGCGTGCTGTATGAAATGTAGTTGGTTAGTCCGCTTGAGGCACTGCTCTGTATCACGTTGCCAGAAAACTATTTGATTCCTGAGTGGAATCGCAAACTCTTAATTGTCACAACTCAAATATCAAATCGTGACAGGTGCGATTCTGCACCTGATATAATTGTCATTATACCCGTCCCTTGGTGTAAACCAATCAGTTTCAAGGACAATGCATATATTATTATAGTGTGTTTTTGTTTGCATTTCGACTGCAAGTATTGTGGTTAATGCAGACATGAATCCTTGTAAAAAGGTTTCAGTTTTGTTTCCAGAAAAAAAAGGGGAAAAACCTTATTATTAACTGACAATCTAGTTAGGGCTAAGTCCAAACATGTCTGGTATTGTAAAATGATGCTTAGCAATTTCCCAAATGTCTTTGACGTATATTATCAATCGTTTTTGCTAATTGGACTTGTTATTTTTCAATATCAGCGTTTTATTATGTTCTAAATGGATTCCACAAGAGATGTAAAATGTCAAATAATAATTTGCCAACTGTCATTATTGTATTTTATAGTGGTACAATAATATCTGGTTTAACATGCATTGCCCAATCAATCGAGAGCAGCAATACACTCACTCAAACAATATGCTTTTTTTATTAGAAAAAAAAAACATTATAATTTTGCCAGAATTCCTGAAACAAATGGCCATCACAACTCCTGACTGGAGAACGACTTCTGAGAACCACCAACATCTTCTTGGTTCTTTCGGTAAAGTCACGTAGAAGGGAAAAATAATAATAATAATAGAAATAAGACATAATAAAATAATATCTTATTATGTTGTAAAATATAATTTTATTATGTTTTATTTTTATTATGTTTTAAAATATAATTTTATTATGTTTTATTTTTATTATTTTATTATTTCCCTTCTACGTGACTCTACCGAAAGAACCAAGAAGATGAATCCCTACAGTCACGAAAGCTTTAAATCGAAATTTAACCACCAACAGTTGAGCGATCGCTGATCTCAAGGTGTGACTTGGGGCACAAGTTGTCGACACTTCCTGTAAATATGAAGGCCCAAGAAAGATCATGAACGAGGGCCTCATAGGTGAGATAAGCAGACATTTTAAAACCCATGTTTGATCTAACGGGAAGCCAGTGCAGTGATTTTAAGAACCGGGGGGGTCGCGTGTTGTGAATGACGCGCGCGAACGAGCACCCTGGCGACAACATTTTTAACCGATTCACAAATCACGAAGGCCAACAGATAAAGTTTTCGATTCATCTGAGAAACAAACAAAAGCGTGAACTGACATTTCAGTGTAACTATCTAGATGGAGTGCTTCTCAATTTGGCAATAACCCTCAATCGTCATCATGATGATCACCATGATCATCGTCATCAAGATGATCAATGATGATGGGGGAAGACGAACTATAAATGTTGTGGATTTACTCTCCAACACACCGGTGGGCTGAAGTAGTAACTAATTGGCGTTTTGGTTACGTGACAAATCCCTCACTAATTGGCTGTGTCAGGTAATGGAGGGTTACGTCACATTTATACGAACGCGATCTGACCCAAAAACCTTTATTATGAATTTCGACTTAAAGCTTTCGTGACTGCAGGAATTCATATTCCTGGTTCTTTAGGTAAAGTCACGTATATAGAAAAAACTTAAATGAAATAATAAATAAATAATGTGCAAAAACCCCACGATGTTTCGATTGCAACATAAGCGGTCTTCATCAGGCCTGATGAAGACCGTCGTTTCGTTTTTTCTTTTATTATTTTTTACATTTCTTTTAAATTTAAATTTTATTTAAATTTGCTATCTACGTGACTTTACCGAAAGCACCAAGAATGCTTTATTATGAACTGTGATTGTTCGGGCCCATTGTCACGCATGCTCTATAGACCTACAAAATGGCGCAGTAGCGACACCTACAGACGCCTCGTGCACTGCCCGCGTGACTGCGGGAGGGCAAGGTGGGGGTGGGGGGGAGCATATTCTTAGGTTTTTTCGGTAAAGTCACGTAGATAAAAAATTAAAATTAATAAAAAGTAAAATAAAAATAAAATAAAAATCACGACGTTTCGGAGGAAACACAAGCTTCCGTCTTCAGGTGGAACCGTCACAGCACGATAGCTGTATCAAGTGAGAGAAATTCCAAGAAAACAGTCCTTGGATATATACTGGTTGAGGGTGGGAGGAGCCAAGGTAGGCACCCGAATATTATTTTTGTGAGGTTCGGTGCGGCTGAAGCACGCCGTTAGGAATGAGCCTTTGTTGTGTAAACCAGGTGCTCTGATCTGCCAGCTTGCACTGCACATTTTGCCGGATACCCACGAGGGAAAAATTAATGGACCTTGTTACATTTCCGCCCTCTCACCACCCCCGTCGCAATTTTCCACCCAACACAAATGTAGGCCTGTTCCCCAGGGCTGCGGCCCTGGGCAGCGTGGCTAGCCAGAGGTGCGTTGCCCCCCCCTGCCACCACCTTCTAATAATAAACGTGGCCGAGTTTTTGGCCTCAATTTACAGGTACCTGCCTAAATGTACAAGTACCTTTGCCCAGAATAACGCTGTTGCCCTACTACTGTCTATGAGGGCCTGATCTCCACCCGCCGATGATTATGAACGGGAGCCTGCAGGCCGTTTCGACAATTATCCTTCTCTCCTGCGCAGCAAGCTGTAACCGACTGGCCACTCGCTCGCTCGCTCTCCCTCATGACATCGGGTTTATCCTTCAATGGAGCCAGTCTGTTGTAAGTCTGTACATGAATATTCTTAGCTTTTTTTCGGTAAAGTCACGTAGGTAAAAAATTAAAATTAATAAAAGTAAAATAAAAATAAAATAAAAATCACGACGTTTCGGAGGCAACACAAGCTTCCGTCTTCAGGTGGAACCGTCACAGCACGATAGCTGCATCACTTGATACATTTAAAATTAACGATAGCTAAGTGATACAGCTATCGTGCTGTGACGGTTCCACCTGAAGACGGAAGCTTGTGTTGCCTCCGAAACGTCGTGATTTTTATTTTATTTTTATGTTACTTTTATTAATTGTAATTTTTTACCTGCGTGACTTTACCGAAAAAAACTAAGAATATGAATCCTTGCAGTCACGAAAACTTCAAATCTAGAATCTGTACATGAAGCTGAGGTTTTTTTTTGCCATTTCAAGGAGATCCCATGGAACAGTGGTGGATAGAATTATATATTTAGTGTGTGTATGGCGGCATGCCGAGCACATTTGTGCCTGTTATAGAATTTCACCTTGTAAAGTCTTTTAACTGTCAATTCCTGCTGCAGAACCGGGCGGCCGTGTGACTTGAACCGTTAACCCTTTGTATAAACCGGCCTTGACACTGGGTGCTTTAAACCCTTGGCTTTCTAGAGCTACAGTAGCTGTTCATTTACGAAAACAGATTCCATTCCTTGCCTGTTGCAATCAGTGTTTAAACTAAAATAAATATGCTGAAATATTATATACTGGCACAGGTTTGCAGATCGCACGTTCGAAAACTATTAAACTATTTTTATTTTTACCTTGTAAGGCCCACTCAGCTATGTAGCTGAAAAATTATAGCTCAACAAAGCGGCTTATCACGTGGAAATTTATAGCGGTCAAATACTCTTAACACGTAATGTTTCAAAATGTTGATGGGAAAAACAAAGAACCCGGAGAACAATCCACACAACCACTGGGAGAACACGAAAAGTCCAAATACACAGGTGACAGGGTCGAGATCGAACCCACGACCTCCTGCGTACCAGGCAATAGATTTAACATCTCGCCACCGTGGCACCCCCAATGATGAAACATGGACACTGAGTCGGCAAAATGTGCTGAGAGTGGTGCAGCTTTGCAATCGCTGGCTCGCACCACCGCTGGCAGAAGACACCCCACCATAAGGAGCTCTTGAAAGGGCCCCTTTAGAGATGGCCAGACGTCTTAGCAGAGGTGGGAGTCCCTGCACTTTACCCCACCACGTAATTCCATCTCAGAATTTGAATCTTTATTTATCTTGGAGAAATCCAACGAGTTGCGAAGCTCTTTTCACAGACATCCAGGAGGGGGTGGGTGGGGGGCGTCAGAAAGTTCTAACGACAAAAAAGTACAGAAAACGACGATCGGAGTGCAAAGTGTAGGAAAGGAAAGCATAAGTACACTAATTGCCAAGATTGGGGAAGGCAGCAAAACAATAGCAAGAACAGCCACAGACCACACCAAGACAACACAACACAGTCCCTCAGTAAAATTGCACGTTAACATTGATCTGCCGATTCACTAACTGCGGTGTATCCACTTATAATGTTGGGTGTACGTACGTATGTATGTTGAACTTCTCTCGCACCGTACGTAGCCAACCATGGTAATCCGAGGTGCGGGGAAAGGACAACAAACTAGACACAAAATGCAGTTTTAAAGAAATTAGTTTTCATTCTAGATTTTAAAGTGCATAGCTCCAGTCGCCTCCTAATATCGGAAGGAAGAGCGTTCCAGACAGCCGCAGAAGCGCATTTGAAAGCGTACAATGCAGTAACCGTCTTTGTTCGATGATTCGCCAGAAGCCGCTGTGATATTTGCACACAGCGTTGTAATATGTTTTTTTTTTGCTGGAAGATTTGCTGGTTTATCCAGGATGTTTCTGTTGCGCGTCGTCGCTTTAAGATGTTCTCTGTTCATATTTTGTTTGTTGCGGTTGCACCCGACTCAAGAGCCGCATGGCTCACAGGGCTATACCTAATAAATGAAACTTGAAATTGATGACCGGAGTTTGCATGATGGTTTATGCTCGTTGACAAGTTCAGCAAAGTATCCTCTAACTACTGCTAGCTCTATGTATATATGTTGAACTTATTTCGCATCGTTACTAGCCAACCGTGCTACTCAAAGCTGCCGGAGGGCAAGGACAACAAACCAAACACACAAAACGCACTTCTAAAGAAACGAGTTTTCAATCTACATTATTTCAAAGTGCATCGCTCCAATGGCTTCCTAATATCGCAAGTTGGCCAGACGAGGGTGGTATTTAAAGAACCTGCCCCGTCATTGCAACTGCCCCGCCGGGGATACGGCTCAGCGTGCTCGCTGTTGGGATGTGGTGGCACTTTGGGAGTCACCGCAGGGGGACGTGGAGGGCGATTGTTGACCGTTAAGCCGCGTCGTCACGGCTTTTGCGCGTCGGGTAGCAATGCCCCCGTTCTCTGAGAGCGCCCCGCTTTTGTGGCCATGTCTCCCACCCCCTTCCACCCCCCCCCTCGTAGCTTTGAGCAGTTCTGCATCAACTACTGCAACGAGAAGCTGCAGCAGCTGTTCATCGAGCTGGTGCTGAAGCAGGAGCAGGAGGAGTACCGCAACGAGGGCATCACCTGGCACGACGTGAGTCCGCACACACGCGTGCGCACACAAAGACAAGGATCCCCTGTATAGCCTTAAAAGACTGTTGGGGCAAGTCCTGTTAGTGAGCACCTTTGAAAGCCAGCATGGCTCACGAGGGGGTGGGTGTCTCCCCAGTGCCGATGTTTACACATCACACCAGGTACTTAGTCGACCTACAGGAGGCCCAGGACTGATTCAGATAATCGTCACTGGTGTTGGCCGTGAGCAGGAATCTAACTCGGGTAACCAGGATCGAAGCACAGCGCGCTAACCATTGCACTACCGCTCCCCACAGAGTCACACGATGCACTGCGGTGGTGAGATGTTAACTATCTCGCCTGGTATACAGGAGGGTGTGGGTTGTGGGTTCGATGCCTGTATATTTGGAGTCTACATGTTCTCCCCTGCCCTGTGGTTGCGTGCATTTTTCTCTGGGTCCTCCGATTTTCCCCTCCACATTTAGAGACATGCGTTTAGAGTATTTGGCTGCAAAACATTTTTACATGATAAGCCACTGTGTTGATCTATCATTTGTGGCCAGGTCGTTTTTGAAAAAAAAAATATATAGCTCCGTAGCCCTTACCTGGTAAAATGTAAATAGTTTAAATTAATTTAATACACATAAAAACACATTCTCACACAGTCACACACCCACAGCATGAGCACTCCCACACACACACACGTGCACAAAATGCACGCTCCCACTCACGTACCCACTAAAGCAAAACTAATTGGTTCTCCACCTACGTTTTTTTGCGAGATGTGAATGACAAATCCTCCAATATATTGGGTCCTAAGTATTCCTTCACCTTACTTGTCAGTGACATTACTTGCAAAGAGTCAATCAATCTTTGTAGAAATACCACTTACATCAGCTACACCGTCGGCCACAGACGTCAAATACACCTGAAGCTTGCGTTGTTAAGGACTTGAGGGATTTTCAAGAGTGTAAAAAAACCCGCTGTAAATCTCAACAAGAAAGGAATTGAGCGTGATGTGTGGCAAAGGGAGCCGAGAGAAAGCCAAATTGGTCCCGCTGAAGATTTTTTCGGAAACTTTTATTGTCGATGAGCACATTTCTTGTGTTTTTTTTTCTACCTGCCACTTGTATTTTCACGGAAGGCCCGATCGTTTATCTACGTTGCCCTGGTGTTTGCAAGTGCATGTCATCCTCAATCAGGATTTTCGAATTAAACTCAGCTTAATGAATCAAAATACAACATTAAAATGAAACTTGTGGGCTCAGGGTGCTGACCCTCGACCTATGCGTTTGGTTTTCTTGGCGTCAAAAAAAAAAATCGGTCATGGCCAATCCACTGCTGGATGAAGGTCACTCCATACTGTCCGCCGCCACGTCGCAAGATGACGCGGTGCAATAACAATGATCCGCCCAGTACCAGCACACAAACCAATGTCACTGCTCAATCGCCTCGGTGGACTTCCTCCCCGAACGGGTTCCATTCCCTTGGCTGCCACTCCCTTATTACTCTTGACCATCAGATGGAGCCAGTGCATCGTGTTGCCGCCGCCGCCGCTACCGTTGCGTAACAAAACCGCAGCGCCCTCTGACCTTTCCCTCCCGGGGGGCGGGCTGGGGGGGCCCCCGTGTGTCGCCGTCTCGCCGAGCAGATCGACTACTTCAACAACAAGGTGATCTGTGACCTGGTGGAGCAGCAGCACAAGGGCATCATCTCCATCCTGGACGAGGCCTGCATGAACGTGGGACGCGTCACAGACACCATGTTCCTGGACACCATGGACACCAAGCTGGGCCGCCACGACCACTACACTAGTCGCAAGGTGGGGCTCTCGCCCCTCCCCCCCACCCACTTCCCCCCACCCACTTCCCCCCACCCACTTACCCCCACCCACGTGCACCCCTTTCCATTCCCGTTGGGAGAGGACAGAACAGAGTAATGATAATTGTAATTTTACACTTTCCTCGCCCGGGAAGATCTCACCGAGTCTCAGCAGGGCTGTTTTTTTATATTCAGGTCGCCCTATGCGGGGGGGCGGGGGGGGATGATTGGCCAATTGACAATTGCTAAAGAGATCCGGAGACCACCCGAGCCTCCTTGAGATGTCTTCATACGACTGGCTGCCTTCCGCTGTCAAATACAGAAAGGGATGCGCACGTCAAAATTTGTATTTATTGCACGCATGTACGTTGAACATCTGTCGCACCATACGTAGCCAACCGTGCTAATCGGAGGTGCGGGTGAAGGAAAACAAACTAAACACAAAAAGCAGTTCTAAAGAAATGAGTTTTCAGTTTTGATATAAAAATGCACAACTCCATCGGCTTACCAATATCGGAAGGAAAGAGCCTTCCAGACCGCCACAGGAGCGAATCTGAGAGCGCGCGATGCGGTGACCGTCTTTGTTCAATGGCTAGCCAAAATCCGCTGCGAGGATGACCGGAGTTCGCTTGATGGTTTATGCTCCTTGACAATGACTAAAGCGTCACCAAGAAGTTTATCACCCTGAGTACTTTGATCAGGGATTTGTCAGGTGTAGAAGCCACGTGGCTCGGAGATGCCAGCACGGCATTTGAGCCCGTCGGCAAATACGATCAGCTCGGTTTGGCTACGTACGTCATGAAATAATTTCAACGTACATACATACACACACTACGTGGATTTCTTGGGTCTGTCTTGATTGAATCTGGGCCGAGTTTGAGGGTTATCTTCTGTGAGTCTTCTCCGGGTACTCTGGTTTCCTCCGACATGGAAAACACTTATTAACGGGATTTGTTGCACATCTCACTGTAGAACCTTCCTGAATAATAGTATTGAGAGAGACTCAGTGTGGCTTGCTGGGTATTAAATGGCATTATTATTATTCGCCGTATTATTTTGACCCTATATACCCTTACTTGACTCGCGATGACATTGGCAGTAAATACTCTCCTATTTCCGTGACCCACGTCTCCCTTGAGGAGGAGGCTTCTTCGTCTCGGTGAGTTCTCACGTGGTTTAAGTTAAGCAACTCACATTCGCTCTGCCTTATGTCCCCTTTGTGTTCCTACTGATCTTGTTAATAGTGCAATCTTCCCCCGGCAATGGCCGGCCGATGTAAAAAAAATGTGCCTATTAAGTTCGGCGCATTCGCCGGCTTAACGTCAAAATCGATTCTCGCGTCGCACACGACGGCTGCAACAGTAAACCAAGTCGGCGAGAGATTCGCGAGATCGTAAAAGTTGATCCAAGGCCAGGACTCCCGCTGCAAAATGACGCTCAGCTTTGGCACTCACCTTCACGCACGCTCGAGGTTGGTCGGTGCTCATCAATCATTGTCCAAAATTATTTGATGCATTCCAAATTACCCCCAACCTGCGCATGGCCCGTGAAGAGTAATGCCACCTTTGCGGTTTGTGAAACAGGGACAATGTCATGGGGCAGTGGTGGCTTTGCACGCTTGTAAAATCCAGCACTGGTGGGGTGCGAGGGTTGGTGGTTCACACAAATAGTTTTGAAGCTTATTTATTAATTTAAATTTTTTACCTACGTGACTTTACCGGAAAAACCTAAGAATATGAATCCTTGCAGTCACGAAAGCTTCAAATCTAGAAGTTACGAAACTCCCTTTCTCCGTGGACGTCGAGGTGCCATAACTCTGGCTCACCTGGAAAACGCAGTCCAGCAAGTGTGGACCCCACCCATTCTATATCTATGGGATAGAGTGTTGCCCCCTCGCACGCGCTTGGGTTTTTTTCTGGGTGCTCCAGTGGGTAGATAAGACCTTGATATATAGAGGACTTCAGAGCTTGGGGGGGGAGGATTTGGTGCCGGTTCACTGCGTAACAACCTTTCCCACTTGACTGTGGTTCCTTCCGCCCCAAAGTTGTTCTCTCTCTTACTGTGCGCGTTACACGTTGACATTATTATCATTATTATTATTAATATCTCACAATATCACAAGAGGGGAGAACTATGTGAACGTGTGTTGCCTTGGGTCGTGCGTTATCACGCAACTGACAAATCTGGGACTTTTAGCATACCGGCAAGACTCGGGCAGATTTTCTAGGACAGCAGCTACTTCGGCAAGAGGGACGATGTATGTACGTATGTTGGTATGTTGAACTTCTTTCGCACCGGACGTAGCCAACCGTGCTAATCGGAGGTGCGGGAAAAGCAGGACAGCTGGTTAACTCTGTGCCCGTGACTGGAGTTGTGTGTTGTTTTTTTTTAGCAGAGCCAGCTATGCTTTGGAAGGCCGCTGGGGGTTTTGCCTACTGCGTATTCCGCGGGCGATCCACGAGCTCCAATTAGCACCCAAAGATGCTGCCGCAGCTGCCCCCTCCTTTTCTTAAAATGTCTAAAATTGGCACAGTTCCGACCGCATTGTTTTGTCCCCCCCCCCTGCCCAAATAAATAAATAAAAGCACAGTCACTCATCCACCAAGCAGACGTGGTAATTGTGTAATTGTGCCCCTTCGAAGGAAGTTTATGTCCTGGCGTCAAAGTTGTGGCATCTAATTGGTCGCGATTATAATTCATTGTGCAGTGATGCGCGGCGTTGCTTGTGGACACGTTGGTGCCCTCAAAGGTGGCGATGGCAATGGTCACGCATTTCTGGGAGAAAACGATCAAATCGTGCGAGCTGCGGAATAACAATAAAACACGTCGTGCTGGGGAAGTTACGAGTTGGAATTGGTGCTTTAATTGATGACAGGCTCAGTAACCGTTTGTGGACACTTGGACAATTTACAAACGCTGTTAGGCATGGTAATTTCGGCACCGGCGATTACCGTCGTGCAGTTGACCGAACTGATCATTGCTTTGGCTAAAGCAACTTGTCTCATGACCAATCCACCTGGATAATGCCTAACCTTATCAGACCTCTGAATATAAGCAGGGTTGAGCCCGGCTCATATTTGGGTGGGTGCCCACCGTGTACAAACAGGTTGTAACAGGCAATTGGTCACCCCCATTGTTGTACTGTGGTCTACGCTCCCACGTTTAATCTCTGCTAGTCGTCACCACCCTACACTGACCAGCGTGGTGAAGCGTGGTCACGTAACCTCCTCCCGCACGATGTAGGGAGGCCCTCATCCAGCAGTGGGTTGACAAAATGGGTCGTGCGTGTGCATGCGTGTGTGCGCGCGCACGGCTTCAAGTGAGAAAAGTAGGTCGTCTATGAGCAACGGTCGAGTAAGCCAGGGTGCTCATCAGTTCCCGGAGGGAAAGAGATTTTCCGTGGAAGTGAATCACCGAGTGATGAATCAGTGTCAACTACCAAAGAGGCTGCTGCAGAAATCGAATTTTTTTGTATTTTCCCACCACGTGATCGTTAACGCACAAGGGGTACGCGAAAAGGGGGGGGGGGGGTGCTGCTTTTGTTGCCCGTCACTCGAGAAGCACTCTCTGTCCAGGGATGCATTTTACTGGTCGCTGGCAGGCTGGAATAGGTGGCACGTGACGAGTAGCCGCAGCCATAGCAAGAGGTATGGTAGATGTGGTATGCTGGATGAGGATATATTTTCTGGAGGATGTTTTTTGTTTTATTTACCAGGTTAGCACCACTGAGCTTTCTAGCTCTTTTTCAGAAGCGGCCTGGCCACAAATGAAAGTGCAACGAAGTGGCTTATCACAGCCAAATACTCCAAACGCATTTGTTTCTAAATGTGGAGGGAAAATCGGAGGACAAAAATCCACGCGGCCCCAGGGAGAACGTGCAAACTCCAAATATACAACAGCAGGCGCCAGGGTCGGGATCGAACCCACGACCTCCTGTACACCAGGCGAGGTCGTTGACATCTCGTCACCAGGGCGCCTCCTTTTAATCCCTGCCTCTGCCCATGCTCCACAGTTCGCAGCGAAGGACAAGACAATGGACTTTGGCCGCCATTTCCGCATCCGGCACTACGCGGGTGACGTCACGTGAGTCTCCCCATTGGCTCCTTCCAAGGCCCTTTTCTGTCGACCTGAACATTCTACACTCAATTTCGCTGTCATAACCTCGACTCTTAACAAACTGCGCTTTGTGCCGCGACGGTCCTGTTGTGCTTTATTTAAGACTTCAGCGTTGTCTCAGAGTACAGTCCGTTCTCGTATGATGCGTGCGGTTTTCATAGTGCAAATTGGTGTATTAGTGAACGCATATTTTTACAACGCGGGATGCGAATTGGCAATAACGCGATTGAGGTGAGCGGAACTACGTCGCGCGAGTCGGGAATAAGCGGCCGTGCGGCTGCCTCGGTGTAGCATCACACAAGGCGGGATGCTGCGGGATGCTGCTGGATGCTTTTGCGCTTTACCCTATATTATATATTATTTATTATAACACGATCTTTATGTACCACGCTGTTCTTCAGCATCGCACCTACTACCGTGGCATTATAAGAGAGAACAACAGACGGTTTTCATTTCCCTGCTGGACATTCCTAAAGGGGCTCCTATTTCTTCTTACCTCTCTGGGGATCACTTTATTTTCTCAGAATATCCTTCTCTTTCCTGAAGGCCTACCCCCACCGCACCACCTAAAAACTCCACGCATACCTCCCTTCCACCAGGCCCTGTCATGCAGTGGTAATGAAAAGATGATTGACCCCGGATTATTGGGGTGGGGGGGGGGTCACAGTTCTTCGTAAGGTGAGGACGGAGCATCTCCCCGGGCTTGATTTCGAGGGATGGTTGCGACATTCTTGAAGAGGCGAGAGCAGTCGATCACAAACATTTTTTATCGACGATAAATTTTTGCTGATTCAACCGTGAATCCACGAATCTCCCGCGCGGGAAACGGCAGCCATATTCCTGCACCCAGTGTGGTCAAACTGTTTTAGCGCCTCTCATTGCCGCAGTGGCATACGAATCACAGGACGGTCGATTCTTACGCACGCAAGCATGTGCGTGTATCACCAGCGGAAGAATCGATTTCAACGAACGAATCGGTGGTGTTAATTATTAATAATAATTAATCTCATTGTGGAGATTTTAAATGGCAAAATAGATCAGCAGACTCTGCTGACGAGACACCGTATGAAATGGTGCGCTCCCAGAAGGCCACTGGGCTGATGGGATATTGTAATAAATGAATCAGCGCATCGTTACACTCCTGCCACGCATAACTTGGTAAATCCAAAGACGCATTCGTGCTCACGTTATCTCCTCCACCCCCACCCCCACTGTTATTAAAGCACTATGCAGCTCCACGCTCAAGGATTTCCCCGTGTCAGGGACGCTATCTCTCGCTGAGTGGCGCGTGCTTTCCGAATGTCTCTCTCCATCCGCCTGGCTGCACTCACCAACGCCACCCTTGCGAAGTCTCCAACGCGCTCGTAAAATGTCAATTTTCACGCCTGCCACCACCGGTTTACACAGTTCTGCGACGAGGAGGGTTGTCGCTAGGTCAGCGGCTGAAGGGAAAACGACTAAATACATGCTGCGTCGTGCCGTAGAAACGAGTCTGCGTACTATAGAGCGCCGGATGTATCCGACTCGCTGGGGTTATTGAGGCACAGGCGGATATTGTGAATGTGGGATTTTGTGAACACCGCTAGAAAGTGACGGAAAGACCGCGCTCAAGCACTCGCAGCGGGCGCGCGCGGTTCATCGGCTCAGGGCGGATATGCGACAGTCACACTTGTCCTTGCACTTCTCTGCGACAGGTATTCCGTGGATGGGTTCATCGACAAAAACAAAGACACGCTCTTCCAGGACTTCAAGCGCCTCATGTACAACAGGTAACGGCGCGCGCATGGGGGGGAGGCGCGGCGCTTTCCGTCGACCGTCTCCGTGCTCCCGGGGAGGGGCTCCCACAGACGGCGGCTGGGCATCCACTCCGTTGTCGAGCCGAGGTCGCTCTCGTTTTACCGCGGAAACCGAGAGGCGGCTTTTTCATCATCGGATATACGCGACGCGGCCGAGCAGCTCAGCCCGCAAGGGGGGGAGGGGGGGGGAGGGTACGGCTCGCGGTCCTCTCGTGTAATCACCACGGTGGCCTTCGTGTGCCGTACGTGTGAGTGTTTGTGTATGTTGAACTTCTTAAGCACCGTACGTAGCCAAGCGTGCTAATCGGAGGTGCGGGGTTAAGGACGACAAACTGAAGACAAAAACCAGTTGTATAAAGAAATGAGTTTTCAGTCCAGATGATTTAAAAGTGCTTCCTCATATTGGAAGGAAGAGCGTTCCAGGTGGCCACAGAAGCGCGTCTGCAAGCACGCGATGCGGCGATCGTCTTTGTCCGATGGTTAGCTAGAAGCCGCTGCGATGATGACCGGAGTTCCCTTCCCGTGGTGATTCATGCACCTTGACGAGATCGGCAAGGTATTGTGTGGTTCATTCATGGCGAGTACTGGTATGCCCGTGTCATTTGTGGGGATTGTTTAACCATATTTTACCACGGCGGTCAGTGCGGATTGGTTATATGGAGGAGGGGCTGGGAGCCCCGGAGCTACTGAAGTTAGCCGTGACAATGAACCAAACCCAGATGGCCGGGTTAAGAGCGTTCTTCATGAATCGGGCGTCGTCGCGTTAATGCACGGCCGTGCATTACCGTGATGCTCGGGGGCACTGGTGTGCCCTCGTACCAACAGACTTAGCTACTGCACTGTAGAGCTCCACTGCAAGTTGTTTTTGGTCTCTCCACTAAAATGCATACACACACAGACTCATTTATATTAAACTAGCTTTACTACTTCCCGGCTTCGCCCGAGACTGGATTAATACACGGCCCACGCGGAGGGTGGGGGGGGGGTGCGTGACGTCAGCAGGCACACTGCGTGACGTCAGCAGGCACACTGCGTGACGTCAGCAGGCACACTGTGTGACGTCAGCAGGCACACTGCGTGACGCTGCCGCATGCGGGTGACATCACAGATGTTCTGCAGTTCTCGTTCCTGAAGAAGCTCCCAGCGCACGATGTCCGAAACGTCGGACATCGTGCGGGAGAGTCGAGCAGCATGACGCGAGAACACGTCGGGGAGCTGTGCCGCTCAACCGCGAAAAAAAATCCACGCGGTGGTAGGAAGCTCAGCGTTGTTTTGGGGGAAAAAACAAGAGCACCAGCTACGTAATAATCGAGTTAAAGATTGAAAGGAGAAGGAGAGAAAGAGTTTGTGGGGAATGGCGAAGTGTGGGAGCGAGGGAAGGGAGGCGAGCCCTGCGTGCATTGTGAGAGACGGTGGCTGGTGTTTGCGCATTTTATAGGGCGAGCATTGGCAGGGCTCGTAATCGGGTAAAGCATTCGTTAAACTTGAACGCAAATTACCTCCTGCCATGAATTGTGGTGGCGCTATAAATATAGCCATGATTATGATTTGCTCACATTGTTTTAATTGAGTTGCTCCATGTTTTTCTCGATCATGCGGAGAAGCTTAAAGGGGGTTTTATTCCCCATCTCATGATACACATTGATGTTTAACGTCCAAACTGCTTGCACACATGGCACTGCGCATTTGTGTAATCTTAAAAAAAAATGCCCTGGATTTAACCAGGAAAGCCTCAGGTAGCCTAAAAACTAATTTTCTGCAGCCTCCTGCATTGGGCAGTTTAAAACATCCCATTAACGAGTGCTGGGCACATTTGAGAAATCCGGAGTACCCATAGTTTACCCCCCCCCCCCCCCCCACACATACGAAGAGGAGTAACCCTCAAAACTCCGCACAGATGGATTCAAGAAACCATTGATCTCCTGGCCACCTTGCAGCGCAGTGGGTTTAGAAGTTTCAGATATACATGCGTGCTTCACCAACTCTCCTGAATCTACCAACTCAGATACGATTTGATGACCGGTTGTCTGTATCATGGGTTGAGCGGTGGTTGCGGTGGTTTGCGTACGGCGTTGTGAACCCGGCGACCCGAGGCCATGGCTAACATCCCTGCACTGCTTTTAGGGCCCCCTCCGAAAACCCGAATTGACGTTCCCAGTAATACACGGACAAGTGCCATGATTCAGCGGAGTGCGGGGAGGCATTTAACCAGTAATCTGACAGCGCTCTATGTAATTTAATCATTTGTGTCATTGGGAGAACATAAGTAACAAAATGTCCATTTTATGAATCTGTCTCTCCACGTGAAAATATAAGTGTTATTCCACACAACCCATCGGCCCTTCTCGGAGTACGTAATTCCAGCAGTAATTGGTTCAATCCAAGTAAATCAATCAGCAATGCTGAAATGATGCACTCCCAGAAGGCCGTGGGGCTTATGTGTTACGTTAAAAATCCTCTTATTATTTGACACATTTATGGAGCCGTCCTGTCTGCTTATCTACACTACACGTAATGTGTACGGGACCGCGTGGCGTGTTTGGTGTTCGTGTGGGTGAGAGGCGTGGGTGAACTGCGTGGGTGAACTGCTGTGTCGCTGCAGCACCAACCACGTGCTGAAGGAGATGTGGCCCGAGGGGAAGCTCAGCATCACGGAGGTGACCAAGCGCCCGCTGACCGCCGCCACTCTCTTCAAGAACTCCATGATCGCCCTGGTGGAGAAGCTCGCCAGCAAGGTGGGCACTGCGTGGCTGACAAACGTCATCCGGGCCCGGCTCGCCTCAGTGGCTCCTAGAGCAGCGAGGTCGGGGGTCGGCAACCTACGGCTCCGGAGTCCGAAATGCGGCTCACTAAGGACTGCTTCGTCGCGTTATTTATGAAGGACCACCACCGTGTCGTAATCACCACAGAGTGCATTGCGGCTCTTAAAATATAGAGGTTTTTTTACCGAATTTGAAAAAAATGGCTCTTCTTGTTATGTTTTTTGCCGAGCCCAGAGCTAGGGGGTTTTGTTGCTGCTGTGTTGCCCTGCACAGTGGTCTTTCTCCTCGTTTTCGTACGGTGGGGATTTGGTCGGACACGTTCGTACGTTCATGTTGAGTTTGGCGAGTTAGCCAGTGGACAGATGTTCAGGAGTAGCCTGGCGAACATCTGAATTGCTGCCAGTGAGTGATCGAAGCGGGCAGTGCCACTCTCTATAGTTTGAGATTGGTAACCACAGTCCAAGGCCATAATTATAATATGTATTGGGGTGGGAGGACATCCCCCCCTATAATCAAATATGCTCAAAATGTCCCCCCCAATATATTGCTATAAAAATATTTTAAAAAATAATAATTGTGATGCTATGTTAATAAGACAAACAATTTGCTAAACCTTGGCCACAAAATCTGGACTTGTCTTCATATAACAATGCATAGATTTCTGTTTATATGATTGTGGTTATAGTTGTACTTTATGAATCCCTAATCTCTGCCATTACATACAATGGAACAAGAAAAAGTAAAAAAAGAAAAAACAGCAATGTAATACAATACACTATTAGACATTATTGTAAAACACAAAAGTCCATCCCATGTGTGAGTGAATGTTTTAATATTTTAGGCAGGAATTTTGGCAGGAAATGAGTTTCAAATTTATATTTTTTTCTGGGGGGGCACCCCAGACCCCCTGGAAGATTGTCCCCCCCCCCCCCCCCCCCAATGTTAATACCATGGCTATGGCCTTGCCATAGTCACACTGTGGGCTATTCTATGTGATCTTCTGATGCAGGTCAATACCGATCATTGTTTGCGGAGTAAATTTAAAATGGCCGTTCCTTAAGTGCGATCGGCGATTATTGTGCTCGTTAGAGGTGTTGGAGAATTGCCCGAGGTTGCTCTCCACTGTGCCTCGGGACTTCTTCCGAGTATCAGTCATTAACACTAAACGCCGAAGAATGCCAACAGTGCCTTAGCCTGGCACCTTTGAGCTTTGGGCACTGCTCTTGTTTGCTGTTGTAACTTTGCTGACCCCGTGCCCATACTGGGGCATCTGAAAAAGAGCTTCCATAGCTAATTGGATTCCTCGCACAGTCTAACTAAATATTTGTATCATGTGACTATAGGATGTCAATAAATATTCTGACTGAGCCTTAATGTGGCTCTCTGCACGTATGTCTGTGCGGTATATGTGTACAGCGAGTGCCCATTAGAGAATGGAGATTATCCAGCAACAAAACAAATGAAGTATCATTATTGCTATTATTATATCTGCTGCAAGCGAGCGGTGACGTCACCGCGTCTCGCGTGCCGCTGACTTTTTGGCGACATACGTGGCTCATTATTTACCGTGACATTTACATTTTTCCGGGAAAGCCCTGACTCAGTCCCAAGACTCTTCATCAGCAGGGTCTTGCACTGGGACGGTCGGCCCGGTTCCGCTAATGAGCGTTTTGTTTGTGGGAGGAAACCCCGAGCGCCTCGGGGAAAATCCGTAGACGTGAGGGGATAATGCTCAAAGGGTGTGGCAGAAGGGCAGATGATAGGGTTCGTGAATCCCGCTTAGAGTGGCCTCACAAGCCAATTTGCTTCACCGCCATATTCTAATCGGCATCCTTATTTATCCCGGAGAAATCCGATGAGGTACGACGCTCTTTCTCACAGATGTCCACTCGGGACGGGTCAAAAAGTTACAATAATAAAAAAAAACTATCAGACTGTAAAGTATGGGAAAGGAAGGCAAATCACTAAAAATAAAGACGTAAAAGAGATTAGGTATGCAAGTTCATATATTAACTTAATATTCTATCCACCTCAGGGTTCGCAAATCCGCATGATCCACCAACGCTTGTCTGATAAGCTCTGGGTTGCTGCTGTGTGCGTTACCACTCCCGGGATGTATTAGCATTCATTGGAGGTAACGCGGCGCGTAATAGCGGTGGACCAGGCGTACATGTTGCACGGGAGGCAGAGGTCACAAACGGGTTTTGATTCCTTACCCGTACCCGTACCCGGCCGCACCAGGGTCGCAAATGGGTACCCGTACCCTACCCGATACCCGGCTACCCGTACCCGGCCGGGTATCGGGTAGGGTACGGGTATCAGGTATCCGATTGCGACCTCTGGGATGAAGCCATGTTGCAGGCGCGGGTGGGTTGATTCTAGGAGCTTGAATTGTGAGAAGAGACAAGACGTTGGGAAATGAGTGACAAACGGTTACTCACCAGTGACTCACGGCCTACCCGTACCCGTACCCGGCTGGGTACGGGTAGCCGGGTATCGGGTAGGGTACGGGTATCAGGTACCCGATTGCGACCTCTGACGGGAGGTTTCGCTCGTTGCATTGGACTGGTGACCATCGCGGTGATTACATCCGCTTTGTTTGCGTTGCCTGCAACTGCGTGAAAAGTAAAACGTTCAAAATGCCGGTTGTAACTGGGTTTTGCAGCACGTCGAGAGGGCAATGGACATGGCTCGTTCAGATTTTTAACCTGAGAAGCAAACGAAGCCGCCTCAGTGGTGACGCAACGGGTCAGCGGCGCACTGGACGATCCAGAGGTCGTCCATCCAGTTCGATCCCCCCGGTGTGGTCCACCCAGCACTGAAACTGGATAGCTCACAGTTAGTATAGCCCCATCGTTTCTTAAGATGTCTGCTGGGTGTGGAGGACAACTACTATTTACTCCTTTTTTTATTTTTTTACCAGGTAAGGCTAACTGAGTTGTGTAGCTCTTTTTTAGAAGCGACCTGGCTACCACAGATGATAGCCCAACGAAGTGGCTTATCACGTGGACATTCATAGCAGCCAAATGCTCTAAACGCGTGTTGATTTTAAATGTGGAGGTTTCAAGTTTCAAGTTCATTTGTTAGGTATAGCCCTGTGAGCCATTAGGCTCTTGAATTGGGTGCAACCGCAACAAACAAAAAACAAAAACATGAACAAAAAACATCTTAAAGTGAATATGTGACTAAGTGCAAACAGAAAATCCAAGAAAAGAAAGCAAAATATTTCAGAAAAAACACCGTACACCAACGCTGTGTGCAAAAATCTCAGTGGGATGCAAGTCAAACAACAACAACAACAACCACAAGACAACTTAGATTAAGGCCATCAGTCTAACTGTACTACAACAAACAAACATGGCTAAACCAATACACTTTTCGAAATCACCAAAATAAAGCTATGAAAGCAATGAAAAAGCATCCATAGGAACCGTGATGGAATTTTCACAATAAATGGCATAAACAACATGTACTACCAAAACCCTGCAGCCATAGCTGGCAAAACCCGGTAGGACCTGTAGAAAAAATCCACGCGACCACGGGGAGAGAGACACGCAAACTCAAAATATACAGGCATCAGGGTCGGGATCGAACCCACGACCTCCTGCATACCAGGCGAGGTATCTCCCCCGCGGTATCCCAGTGGGACTATAGCCCTCGATAGCGCCGGCACTCGACGCTGGAAAACGGTTCGCGGTTTTTAGTGGTCGTCGTTTTAACGACCGTGTGGTGACTGTGCGCGGAGTGATTTTTACCGTAAGCTGCCAGAGTGGATGTGAGGATGCACTGGGAGGATTTAAAGGAGCTTTCTTATTCCGCCACATACATCATCACCTACAGCATAGCAACAACACGGACCTTCATATGCGCCACCCTTATGAGAGGTACCGTGAGTGACGGGAGATGTTTACTCCGAGCCTGCTGGATCAAGGCCAAAATGTATTTCCTTAATTCGATGCTATGTAAAAATTTTGGTCGGTTCACATTTATAATGAACAGCCGTTGAAAGCAATTTTTCTGACGATGACATTAATTGACATGTCGTATCTTTGCAAGTTAATCCCTGCGAGATTTTCCGTTTAAAATAATGTCTTATTTGATGCAATTACTGCCGGTATCTCTTCCTTTTGTTTTCAGAAAGGTTATCTGCCCGCCTTGATGGCAGCGAGTAAGATCATCCTAGCAATCAGTCATCATTTCTCCTCACTCTGAGAGCACAGTCTTCTTGATAAATGTCCCCGGCGTGTTAGAAAAATCTGCAAAATTTGACAAAAAGAATCCCTGCAAGTGGCAGTAATGCTCGCTAAGCCTTTGGGGCTTAATCTAAGGCCAGTGTTGGAGAGTTGGTGGCGTTAGATCCGTCACCACGTTAGAAGTGTGTCGCTTTACAAAGCCGGATTAGAAACATTTTAACAAATCTAAATCCCACAGTTTCACTTCCCAAAAACTCTGAGAGGATAATGCAGTTCGGGTAGTTCCCACAGTTGCAATTTAAAGACAATCGTAGCCACGATGCCAATCGCTCAGCTCACTTATCAGCTCCAGGATGCGCAGACGATTTGTGGGGAGCAGCAGTTGGGATGATTGTGATTGTTTTTTGAGGCTCCGTGGTCAGTATCGGGTGTGTATGCTCTGAACCATTTTAAAATGGGCGGAGGTCTCATGCGTGTGGGGTATGACGGAGTTGGTAGTCTGTTCCTGTGTAGGTTTTTGCGGTTGTACCGTGTAGCTCCCACGTGTTTTTGGGTTTGGGAGCTCCCAGCGGTGGCGAGATGTTAACTACCTCGCCTGGTATATAGGAGGTCGTGGGTTCGATCCTGATCCTGACGCTTGTTTTTTTGGAGTTTGCATGTTATTTCTTCCCGTGGTCACGTGGATTTTTCTCCAGGTCCTCCGGTTTTTACCTCCAATATTTATAATCAGCGTGCGTTTATAATATTTATCTGCTATAAATATCCGCATGATAAGCCACT